TTTGATCTGAGTTTAGCACGTGGTTTAGATTACTATACAGGCCTCATTTATGAAGGCATACTCAAAGGTAACAATTCTTATTTTAAAAAAAAATATCAGTTTTAGTTTAACTCCAGAATTTTTAGGTAATTCTCTGTATTAGAAACGCATTTCCAATCAAGGCACATGTAGTGAATCAAAACATATTTCTTAGGTTTTAGCAGTCTATCTAATTCAACATATTATTCCTGTAAATCCTTAAATTTTCCTCACCAGAAATGTTTGTGGTTCAAATTTCATCAATCAATGTTTATCACTATTCAGGTCCTGAGGCATCAACGCCTGGTGAAGCCGTCAGTGTTGGCTCTGTGGCTGGTGGTGGTAGATACGATGGACTTGTTGGAATGTTTGATCCCAAAGGAAAAAAGGTAAGAATCAAGTCTGGGGGACAGTGATCTCTTTGGTACTGTAAAATCTGTATTAGTAACAATGGTTTCTATTAAAATGTTACAATGCAACAGAGGTGATGCAGTTTCTATAGAGCATCTACGCAAATGAAAAACTGTGATTTTTTTTTTTTTCTTAATTTTTCAAAAAGAATGGGTGTCAATTCTGTTAGGGATGCGACTCCTAATAAAGATTTTATGATACTCAATGTCTGGCATAGTGATTAGATTAAGGGAGATAGTGATGAAGTGTTCATTTTGCCCATTTGTCAGGCTCTAAGTTGTCTTGGATGAAAACAATAGTAAACCACTGCTTATAATGTAAAATAATATAATCAGAATTCCCAAGCTTCGTTATTATATAGCCACGATTCAATTGTTACAAATACAAATAAAAGTACATGATGATGCAAGTCAGTTTTGAAAGAATTTGCAATGTTACTACAGCAACCAGTACTTATCCAACCACCTAATAGGTTATTTTCCGTTCACTACGAAATCCCTCGTTGTGCGTGAAATCGAATGTAAAAACAGGACAAACCAAGGCAATAGTGATGTCTAAACATTGCATGACATTTTGAGAGTACTTACAAGCTTCATAATGTGCTATACATATTCAATGAATAAGGGTATCTTGATGCCATATTCCATCTAATATTTAGGCATTTTAAAAAAAAAAAAATTCAAAATAAAATCATTTGATTTTCTTCAGCAGATGTACTGTACTACTTTTTGCGCAATATGTGAGATCTCACAGTGAATGAGAAAATCACCAATTGACAACTTATCATTATATTACATGTTGATGTTTCTTGTTACAGGTACCGTGTGTGGGCGTCAGTATTGGTATAGAAAGAATTTTTTCAATTATGGAGGCTAAATTGCAAGCAGAAAATGCAGTAATCCGAACAACGGAGACACAGGTCCTTGTTGCGTCAGCACAAAAGGATTTATTGGAAGAGAGAATGAAACTTTGTAATGAATTGTGGACAGCCGATATAAAGGTAAAATAATACACATCATCTAAAACCGACAAAACATGATTTGTTTGATTAACCCATAATTCATAATCATAAATTTTGTGTAACATTTTGTACACTGTTATGTATTTTTTCTATAATTTCTATAATTTTGGACCAAATGAATATACTGTAAAATTCTTTATTTTTGCTTGGATTAAATTTTTGCTATTTTCGCTGAAGGGCTGATTCAGTGAAAATAAAATCCAGCGAATCTACTAGTACATTTGTTTCCTATATTATACATTCAACTCATCAAAAATCAGTGAAAATAAATTCCATACAGAACACCAAAAAGTCTTTTCAGCGAAAATTAATTCCAGCTAAAATAAATTATTTTACAGTAATTTCCCATTACCTGAATGTTTATTTTGTGAAAAGTGTCATAAGTTGACTTTGGCATTTGGTTATTGAACATTTTTAGTCAATTTGAATTTCACAAACAAGCAAAAAATCATCACCAACATGGCCGAAACAGTTTGCAAATACCATGCAGTTATCATACTAAATCTGAATCATAGATTTTACTAGTTCAATGTGAAACAGTGAAATTACAGGTAGCAACAAGGGAAATAAGTAAAATGCTACTATAAAGCAATCAGCATGCTTTTAGAGAATATCCAAATCAGATAAAATTTAAACTTTTTTTTTCCCTGATGCTTACTCAATGATTCTACAGAATAGAATCAGGTTTAAAGAATGCAGGAAAACTTATTTAAATGACATTGACATGACATTGTTCAGTATCAAAGATGGCTAAACATTTAATTCGATGGCTAAACATTTCATTCAATGGATAAACACTTCATCTGATGGCTAAACACTTAATTTGATGGCTAAACACTTTATTCGATGGCTAAACATTTCATTCAATGGATAAACACTTCATCTGATGGCTAAACATTTTATTCAATGGCTAAACACCTAATTCGATGGTTAAACACTTCATCTGATGGCTAAACACTTTATTCAATGGCTAAACACTTTATTCAATGGCTAAACACTTAATTCGATGGCTAAACATTTTATTCCATGGATAAACACTTCATCTGATGGCTAAACACTTAATTCAATGGATAAACATTTCATTCAATGGATAAACATTTCATTCAATGGATAAACATTTCATTCAATGGATAAACATTTCATTCAATGGCTAAACACTTCATCTGAAGGATAAACACTTTATTCAATGGCTAAACACTTAATTCGATGGCTAAACATTTCATTCAATGGATAAACACTTCATCTGATGGATAAACACTTGTACTAATTTAATTCTAGGCTGAAATGAGTTACAAGAAAAATCCAAAGATTTTGAGTCAGTTACAGTATGCTGAAGACAGTGGTATCCCGTATGTTGCGATCATTGGTGGAGATGAAATAGAGAAGGGAGTTGTTAAAATAAAAGATACATCCACCAGAGAAGAGGTAAGCATCAGATAAGTTTTGAATAATTACCTAAACAATCTTTATGACAGAATATTTCATAGTTTTCCCATTTGACTTGTTCTCATTTCAAGTTCATATTTAGTAATCAATAATTTCATTTTACATTGCAGGTTGAAATCCCAAGAGCAGAACTGGTCTCGGAAATTAGGAAGAGATCTGAATCAAAATAACTTGAGAATACAAACTTTTACTGACTCTATCCATGCCCAAATTAATCGTGCTATTAAACATGGAACTTTATCCGCTGTTTTTCCTACAAGAATTTCTTATCTAATTGTATCACAGAAACAATGAATTTGAAGTGCTCATATGGACTAGTGCTTGTGGCATTGTTTGCGATGTAAACATCCTGATATGGACTAGTGCTTGTGGCATTATTGGCTATCTCCATTTCTTGCTTCAGCTTCCCTGTAAACTTGAACAAATCATGTTGAAGATCTCCATAATGGTGTTTTAGGAGTTATTCCTGAAATTGAACGATGCATGCAGCATTTTCTATAAAAAACAAAACAATGAAAAGTGTCATATTAAAATGTACAATCAAAACACTGCTGAATTTACTACATTTTCCAACATTTGTGTAGCAGGTGAAAATTTGTCTTGGACAAAATTGTTCACAGTATTCAGTTACAGTATACGTTTAATTGCTTTTCCTTGGAATAGAAGATTAAATATTGTTTTCTGTGATGTTTTCAACCCACATCAACAAAATACTCAACATTTCCAGCTCATGCATGTGCAATGTATCTTGATTTCAGTTTACATACAGCTGATGTAACTACAAATAAAATATTATGCAATGTATCACCAACTTTCTGTTTGTTGAGTTTAGTTGTTTAAGATTTCCCATTGTCAGTAATTTTTATTCCAGTGTGCAAAGCACACAATAGGAGTCTTTACAGTTACCATGTTTGTGCATGTATGTTTTTCCACTGACGTTTTATAAGTCGCCCACTTGGTTGGTTTTTGATGCATAGATGCTCTGGGCTAATGCAAAGATTTTATAGTTTTAGGTAAAAATCTCAATATTAATAATTACCTAATTTGCATAACTAGTCAATTTTCAGCTTTTGACATTTCAAGTACTGATCATTACATTTACTCAAGAATTATGCAGAGTGTTGGGTTAAAATCTGTTCATATAAATTCCCTAATTAGCATAATTCAACAAGATACAAGGATGTTTAATATGGAGTAAAGGTTGATATGAATTGAAAAAACAGAAAACACACATTGTACGGTATGTGGCCTTACTTTATCAGTATGCAAAATTGAAAAAAAGAGCAACACAGAAGTTTCAAACTGACTTATGATGACTAGAAGCAAAACATGGAAACAGATTGTGTGATCTATTGCAGAAGTTACTCATAATACAGAACAATGACAAGAAATATGAGAATAGAATGCAACTGTATTTCTATATTAGCAAATTCAACTGCCCACATTTAGCAATCTGTTCATATAAATTCCCTAATTAGCATAATTCATAATTTTTTGGTTCTAATCACATTTCAATGAAACTTGAGTAATTTTTAATGTGTTTCCAACACAGGAGTTCTTTCTAAGCTTTTTTGATTTTGCTTTTTAGTTTAAATTGCAGCTCTTCTCAAGAAACACTCGACAGGTTTTAATGAATCTTGTTACATAGGTGCTCTGGGGAAAAAAATAAGTTTTTTGGTTGAAATCTGTGCATCCTAATCACCATAATAATAAACCAACTTTGAGATGTTTAGATGAGACTTGTATCTCAAAAACCAGATTTCAATGAAACTTTGCACTTAGGTGATCCGGCCATGATAAATATATACACTGTAGCCTCGCTATAACGAACTCTTTGGGGGACATACAATTAGTTTGTTATAGTGAAATGTTCACTATAATGAAGTACATAATACATTGGGTTTGTTGTGAGCGGGAGACACGCTATGTGTTCATTATATCAGGAAGTTCATTATAACGGTGTTCATTATACTGAGGTTACAGTGTACATAGATTATTTTCTTGATCAGCATACAAGCTGAATAAGTTAATTTTATATACCCATCTTAACGACACCTATATTTATCTAGAGGGTAAATAAAGGAACTCTTTCCTTTTAAATATTAGTTGCCAGGTTTCAAGTTTGAAAGGCTAATCTTAAATTTTGAATAAATTTTTAACACACACCACACACAGAATTTCTTTTTGGTGTCCATGTGCTGACAAGAAACAATTTTTTTTTTCATTTTAGGCATAAACTAGACAGTTGTGATTAATCATACATCTTTACAGACAATGATCTTTTAATGTTCAGTTATGAGCACAGTTTGATATAATCAAATTACAAAAACAACAACCCATGTTCATTTCATGCATGAATCTCATGATTATACTCCTAGCTGTGTAACTTATGGCACTGAACAGTACAATCATAATTTATGTAACACCAGTACTAAGGTGATTGTACTCTATTTGACCCTTGACCCATATTGAAATCACAGAGCATATATGCTGAAGTGTGCGATGTACAAGAACCTAAATTGTGGTAATAGTAATAACCTTATTATTGTACACAATTTTTAAAGACACTGGTAGAGAAGGATGGCTAATATATTGTTTTAAGAACTAGTTCGCCACCAGGTGCTGTCAGTGACAGGTGAAATTTGCACAATAGAGCTTGCCATACGCGTACGTTCAACTGACACAAATTCTGAGCACTTGTTTCTTATTCTATCGGACCATTAAGTAGGCCTTGTATTTGTGCAGTCACATTATGAATATTATAACATGTGGTAACTACCAGAACTACCAGTGTTAAGGATACTTCATGGATAACCACTGCAATTCCTATATATAAATCAGCATGATAACATTCTGAGTGTAGGTAATCCTGACCATCACGTCCCAGTACATTGGAACAGCAGACTACAAGCAGTGTGGGAGAGTGAAGCTGTACAAACACAACATTATACTGCTCTGCTCTGTTTTTATTTTGTTATAGTCAACAAAATGCATTATAATAAGGTTATACACAAAATACTAGAATTTACATCTTTGAGCATCACCGTAAAATCTGTATTATAAGCCACATCTCTAATAAAAGTCGCGCCCATTATTTTTGAATAATTTAGAACCAAAAATTCATCATTTCTCATATGTGTAGATGCTCTAATAGAAGTGCATCCCATCTGTTGCACTGTACCATTTTAATAGAAGCTGCTGTTTCTAATACAGATTTTACAGTATTTTGTGAATAACCTAATAATAACATAAATATATACAGTAGTAATAAACATGCATTCATACTTTAGCAAGATTTAAAAAATATTTTATTCATAAATTTTGAGAGAAAAAAAAGTTATTTTTTTCTTTTTCTTTGTCTAGCTTTTTCAGGAAAGGTGAGTGGGATTGGTAGTGTCACTCGCTGTGGATCTTGTGGTGTTCTTGCTCTAGCCACTTTACATCCAAGACTGTTCACGTAAACCAGCAGTCTGCAATGTGATGTAAAATGAAATTAGACACAGTATAGTTGCACTTTGTGTGTTTCCTTTCGTGGGTTGGATAATTGGAGAGGGAAGCTGCTCACCAAATCAGTTTAAAAAAATGAATACTTAAAATGAGAAAAAAGTTTGTTATTTTGGTGATTAAAAAGAGCAAAAGTAAATTTGATTTGAGGACAGTCGCTGATATAAACTTGTACTACTGGTACATGCAAAGCCGGGTGTAGGTAAGTAACGACAACACGGCTATGGTCTGTACAATGTTACCTATTTGACACTTAACTTTAAATCCACCTTCTCAACAATAACTGAACTGAACTGAATAACACTGAAACTTTCATTTTGCAGTGTGTAATTGAGAACAGTAACACTTAATTTGGCCTATTTCTTATTACTTCAAAAAATCACTTGGGCGGTGTACAAATATAACAAGAATATGGTCCACTCAAATGCTGTCCATATCTCCAAGAGTTTGCTTGAAATCATATTTATGCATATTAATGAGGTCACATGAGGGTATCAGTGATGTAGTCATTATACATTTTTAATTATCTAATTGAAAAAACAATCACATCTGATAACAGAAATTGGTCAGACTACCTGTGCATACATGCTTCATAGCACAGGCTAACTCTTATTACTCTAATATCAACTGCAAATATAACATACTGGTACTTACTTTTTTTTAGGAATCTTCAAGTCTTTCTGTAAAAGATCTAGATTCATATTAAATCTATCAATGTGTAGACATAGGACTAGTATATAGGATAACAATCTGTCTTTTAATCTAGCTGACATGTACCTACAGATAAAACAAATAATGAACATATTCACCAAA